CTATCCATAACGCTCTGAGAACCTGTTTTGAGCAGCAGGTTGCACTGGGCAACCTCCAGGCATGCCTTTCAACCTGAGTTATCATTTAATCCTGTGCCACATACCTCTGGGTATTTGAGATGTCTGAGAGAGCGGGGAGATGTGACACAAAACTTCAAGGTCATTCTCAGATTTCCCACAAGGCCCTGTCCTGCCTTTCCAGGCAGAGAAGAGACTGCTTGTCATGGCCTGAAAGTCAAACAAGGCCCAGAGGAATCGGCCCATGGTCATCATTTGTGCTTCCACAGGAGCAGGAGAGGGCCCAGGGCACCTCCCAGGGAGGAGCGATGGACCCTAACCAGGAGGATGTCTCAGCACCTCAGCTCCTTTCAGCTCCTGACATGCCAGGGCCCTGTGCCTCAGGAAGAGGTCTGGGGGCCCTTTCCCTGCAGGGGACAGAGCCTGGCACCTGAGGGGGTCTCGCCCCACCCCACAGGACAAGTCTCTGTGGCTGCAGGAAATGCTGCTGCCTCTGCCTCTTCCTCACCACTGAGTATCAAGAAAGGCCGGCAGGATCAGCTCAGGTAGTCAGGGTCTCTGCACCAAAGAGACCTAGTGAACTTACACTCTGCATGGAAGTGATGGGAATCCTGTGTGTGGGATGACTTCAGGTGTTCTGTCATGAGTTGGATGCATCCTGATGATTGTCCTGCCTCAGTTCCCTTTTAAAGTGGCCTGTCCCTCTTTCCACATGCCATGGACCTTTCTCTTCTACCTGAGCTCTGCTAGAAGCTCCTTGTTCAACGATGCGGGTCTCCTGCCTTCTTTTCTAGATTTCTTTCTCAGAGGGAAGCACCGCTCTTGAGCGTGGAGGAAGTGATGTTTAAACAGCGACCAGCACTCTCGGACCCCCCTGCCTTCGAGAGCCCTGGCCCACAGGATTCCTCCAGGTAGCTCCTTGAAAAGGCCAAAGTTAGCCCTCCTGAGGTCCAAGGTTTTGATCCTAGTATCGCCCTGCTTCCTCCACGACGGATCCTGAACTCCACCATTTCATGGTCACTGCAGCCGAGTCTACCTCCAACCTTCATATCCTTCACCAGTCCCTACTTGTTTGTTAGTACAAGGTCCGGCAGAGCGCCTTTCCTTGTTGCTTCCTCCACCACTTGCATCAGAAAGTTATCATCGATGCTCTGTAGGAACCTCCTGGATTGCTCCTGCCTAGCTGTGTGGTCCTCCCAGCTGATGTCAGGGTGGTTGAAGTCCCCCATGAGAACCAGGGCCTGTGACTGTGAGGCTGCTTGCAGCTGCCTGTAGAAGGCCTCATAAACTTCCTCCTCCTGGTCAGGTGGCCTGTAGTACACACCCACCATAATGTCACCCTTATGAGCCTGTCCCTTAATTCTAACCCATAAGCTCTCAGCTCCTTCTTCATCTGCCCCCAGGCAAAGCTCAATGCATTCCAGTTGTTCGCTCACATATAGAGCAACTCCACCACCTCTAAGAAGAGATGATGCTGAAAATGTCACTGGCTGTGGACATGCTTTGATACAGGATCACTGTGAAAACCATAGGCCTGATCCGTGACTGTATCACCAAGGGGAATGTTAAATGTTGGGGGAGAGAAGAACCAGCAGAGTTTGAGTGAGGGAACAAGTGCAGAGACCCTGGTGTGAGGTGCTTTGTATTCATGCATTGCTCAGCACCTGCTGTGTAGAGAAGGGACAGATTTACGCTACTGCAGTGATAGGATTCCGTCACTGGCCCAAAGACACCAAATCTGTCTGAGATGCCCTGGGTGGTGCCTGTCACACAACCAGTCTGAACAGGGATGGGGTTCCTGTAAAGGACCTGTGCTGTCCTTGTCACGTACATGCAGGTGTGCTGGAGTGCCCTGGCTTCTCACACAGCACTGCAGGCCTCCATTTAGACATTAAATTAAGATTCAGCTGCCCTGAATTAGGTCAGGCAATGCAGGGATGCACAGGAGACAGCTGCCATCACACTTTCAGGGCATACAGAAACACAACTGATGGTGAAGGGAGGGAGGCTCGCCGCTTCCTATGGCATATGAGTCCATTTGGTCAGTTGAAGACTTACCTAGGATGCCCTGGACATGAGGAACAGTTTCTCCCAGCACTGCTCCATTAGAGCTTGCAATTACCAGCATGCATCCTGGTCAGGTCTGGCACCTCAAATGTCCCCAGAAGTTTGTGTCTGAGCAGCTCACTCATGGCCTTCATCATCATTAATCACGCTGGGAGCTGAGACAAGCAGCTCACCTGCAGGTGCCTGCTGTGTACACACCGGAAGTGAGGGAAGAGGAATCCCACCTCCTGGGGGGTTGTGGCAGGGAGCTGAGTCCCCTTCTAGACCCAGGTCTACAGACCCATGATGACATGCCTCTAATGAGTCAGCTGCATCCCTTCCCTCAGAGCAGAAGGAAGAAGGTGAAGGAGATCCCTCCTGGTCACTGTCCTGGTTTCCTGTCTAATGATGGGACATGAAAAGGTGAATCTTGGACTTCTCTGCGTTTGGAGAGAGGACATTACTAAAAAGCAGTGTCTCTCCCCAGATGAGGGAGGGAACACCAATGATTCCTTCAGCCTATATCACAGCAGGTTCTCCTGGAGACCAAAAGACACCTGGAGGGAGCCCAGGGGGGCAGAGAAAGAGATGCCTTGGGCTGGTCCTCTGCTGCTGAGCTGGGCTGTGCTCCTGGGGTGGAGGGAGATCATGGCATTCAAGCAGTGCTGCAGAGAGACATCTCTAGCCAGGAGCAGCTCATCTGACAAGCACAATAGGGCTGAGGGCACTGCCTGCAGGCACTGAGGAGAGAGGCGAGATGTGAGAGAAATATTACAGGCACTGTGGAGTGGGAGAGTGCTGAGAGCTCACTGGTGGAGAAATCTACAGAGTCCTTAACACAGTAAGTCTCTGGCTTCAGGGCCATACACGAGTGTCCTGGAGGGGTCTCCCATATCTCACACATCTTGCTACAGCTGGGATCCGTCAGGATGGATCTCAGATTTTCTGTATTGTGGAGAAGGACATGCTCCGGAGCAGGGCTTCCCCACACCATCAGAGGGACATGGGATGAAATCTCCCTTCTCCCGGGGATGGCTGCAAGGTTGGGAAACCACGTGTTCAGGTAGGGGTGCCCAGGGCTGTCCTTCAGAGAGGGTCCCTGCACCCCAGGGGCTGTGTGCTGGGGAAGTGACTCTACCTCTTGCCAGGGTCAGCTCTCAGCCTGTCCTGGGAGCTCCCCACAGCACTGTGGGGATAAGCTCTGGGTGGAAGTGGTGATGTCTGCCAGGGCAGGGTCCTTCTGCTGTTGAGCAGGTGCTGCACGGGTCAGAGCTTCTCTCCAGATCCACTTCAGGGCATTTGCAGAGGGTCCTTTAGAATAAAGACATCAAGGCAGCATTTTCCTGAAGTACATGGAATCTGTGCTTTGAGTTTTAAACTCTTCATTGGCTGCTGGGCAGTGGGATATGGAAATTTATTTCTTCAATCTGGTGAGGTCAGAGACCCTACGTCAACATTAATATTATCTGAACTGCTCCTGAGAACCTGCCCACATAGAGATGCCCCTGGGCAGTGTCCTGCTGCCGGGAGGGGTCTGCAGGGCAGAGCTGAGCATGCAGTGTGTGGTGATAGAGGGGATTGTAAGAAATGTGAAACTATAACAAAAAGCCTTAATATTTTCTAGTTTTTAGTAGTCTTTAGTACAGTAACTTGCATTTCTGCATGCATAGTGATCTAACGATGTAACTGTTACACTAAACCCTGTTTTCTCATTAAGGAATGTCGTGGAAGGTCATGGGCACAAGCTATCACTTAGTCGTTAGACAAAATAATTAAGTGAAACAAAAGTGGTCTTGGTTCTCAGCAAATAACTGGGATAACTGTGGGACAAAAGAGACTCCTAAATAATTCTACTCCAGACAGCTCGGCCTTGGGAGGGCAAATGCACCAAGCTACAGAGATAAGGAGGTACCCAGAGAGCAACAAGACCGAAGCAAAACAACCTGAAGGACATGGTGGACGTGATCCTAGAACTGAGTTTGCGCAGAAACAAATGTCAATCAGTGAACAGCGTGATGAAGAGGATGGGCCTTCATCTTGGGACCCCCGAAGACCACCCAAAGATACTAACAGACATGCGTGAAAGATATTTACATATGCTAATTAGTTCCTAGAAATATAATGAATAATTACCTGTGTGATTGTATTTAACCTGAAGCAACAGGGTGTCTGGCGCGCACGATTGGAGGAGAAATCCCCCGTGTGCCCGGCGCCGCAATAAAGAATACCTGCTTAACAGTATACATTGTGCTGTTAGGTTTTTCTTACCGGATCTTCGAATCATACCTCACATCTGTAGCTTTTGTATGACGTTACTCTTTTTTGTATTCAGAGGGTCTGCCTCATGCTCATGGTGATACAAGACACAGAAAGTAAGATAGGACATGCAGAAGAAGAATGATGTATTGTGAGATTGCATCTTGAATTGCAAAGCAGCCTAGGAGAGTGTGCCATCCTCTCCCTGGCTCTGGGTGTCGGTATTCGACTTGGGGGCAGACAGAACTCCTGAATGCTTTTGTCTTTTTTTTTTTTTAAGCACATAAGAATCTCTTCCCTTTTAGACTTGTTTGAAATATAGGGATAAAAAGCAAGAAGCTTTTGGCGAAATCCCCTGTGTGCCCGGCGCCATAATAAAGAATCCCTGCTGAGCAGTATACATTGTGCTGTTAGTTATTTCCTACTGAATCTTCGAATCACAGTCAAAGTTCTTTCTGCAAGGAGAGAGCTGATCTGGGGGAGTTACATGAGAACTGAAATAGGTTTTGCTCTGAGATGTCTACCCTAACTTGTCACTGCCTCTTCCCCCTTGGACAAGTCCCTGTTCTCAGAGGAACCAAATGTCCAACAGCAGCTCCATCACCCACTTCCTCCTCCTGGCATTCGCAGACACATGGGAGCTGCAGCTCTTGCACTTCCAGCTCTTCCCGGGCATCTACCTGGCTGCCCTCCTGGGCAACGGCCTCATCATCACTGCCATAGCCTGCGACCCCCCCCTGGAATACCAGGGCCATTTCCTACTTGGGATGTGCTATACAGGCCTTTTTCTTTCCCTTTTTCACCTCTGCTGAGTATTTTCTCCTCACCATCATGGCCTATGACTGCTATGTTGCCACCTGCAAACCCCTGCACTACGGGACCCTCCTGGGCAGCAGAGCTTGTGTCCACATGGCAGCAGCTGCCTGGGGCACTGGGTTTCTCACTGCTCTGCTGCACACTGCCAACACATTTTCAGTCCCACTCTGCCACGGCAATGCTTGGACCAGTTCTTCTGTGAAATCCCCTCGATCCTCAAGCTCTCCTGCTCAGTCCTCTCAGACTACCTTAGGGTAGTTTGGCTTCTTGACATCAGTGCATTTGTTTCTTTTGGCAGTTTTGTTTTCATTGTGCTGTCCTATGTGCAGTTCTTCAGGGCTGTGCGGAGGATCCCCTCTGTGCAGGGACGGCACAAAGCATTTTCCATGTGCCTCCCTCACCTGACCATGGTCTCCTTGTTTGTCAGCACCTCATTCTTTGCCTACCTGAGGCCCCCCTCCACCTCGTCCTCATCCCTGGATGTGGTGGTTGCATTTCTGTATTCGGCGTTGCCTCCAGCAGCGCACCCTCTCATCTACAGCATGAGGAACCAGGACCTCAAGGGTGCAGTGTGGAAATTGTTAACTGGATTGTTTTCAAAAGCATTAAACTGTTTTTTGTGTTTGCCAATTACTCATTACAGGCCCAGCCCATCTCCTTTAGTTTTAGTTGGTTCTTGATTTTGTCTGGCTTTTTTTTTTTTATGTTTGACTTCTTAGAATATTGTTGAAAAAGAAATTTAATTATTTGTGCAATTTCTAATTATTTATCTATCCAGCTTCTTTGTGACCCACCATCTTACAAAATGAGAAGCTGTGCTCTCTTTGTGTTTAAACAATATAAATGGCCTTCCAGTGACCTGTTTGTCTGAGATCCTGCCTTTGAGACCTTCCCTGGAGCTGCAGGGGCAGTTCCTGTGTGCAGAGGTGAGAGTGAAAAGAGTCCCGGCACAGCGGGGGAACACCAGTGCTTGGTCTTCCCAAAGCTGCTCTCTTCCCACTTCAGCGCTCTCCTTCTTAGCTCTTGTGTAGGTGTAAGGCCTGAGTGCTCTTGCACTTGGTTACTGTCCTGCAGTGTGGCAGCCCTGTGACCACAGGCAGGGACAGGTAGTGGATAATTCTGTGACAAATCTGGCTGCCACAGCGGCATTTCCATCATACACGGGAATCTCCTCAGGCAGTGCCTGAAGCCTTAGGTCTCCTTCCAAAGTATTCGCTCAAGAACACACTCAATAAAATGGTTGGGAAAGAAACAACCAGTGAACAGCCAAAGTGTGTGAGTGTGCAGGGTGGAGTGAAACAGCATTGTTCTCGCACTGCCAGGCTCCTGGGAGAGACATGAAAGTCCAGGAGAGCAGGGTCTCCTCTGTGCCCATGTACCCTGGACAGCCCGGGGAAGTTCCCCAGGGCAATCATCACAGCCCAGCCAATAACAACCACCATTTCCAGCACTGACCTCTTACTCCAGCTCAGAGAGGTGCTTTATGTTTCCATTGAGGGACACCGAATGACTAGCTCAGAAGTCCTTCTTTGCATTGTACATATGACACCCAAGCACGCTCATGGTGTGCGGGTGGTGGGATGAACCCAGGCGAGCACAAATTCCATCAGCTATTCCTGCGAGTGAGGGAATATTTTCCTGAAGGAATAATTCCATGAAGGCTTGTGGAACAGTGTCACGAATTAGTGGTTATGTCACTTAAATGATCCCTCAAAGGTTTTACAAGAAAAGTTTTTAAGGAATATTTAGAAAATGTGATATTAAAAAGTTCATTGGCAAAGTTAACTGTATTACTTATTAAATAAAGGGAATACAAAATCACACTGGGTTTTGAGTAGAAAATTATTTATACAGAGTGGAACAAGCTCTAAGAGATAGGGAGACCCTCCCGTTGAGTCACCAAGTTTGAACCGGACCCCCTTGCTTTCTAAACCCTTTCTCAGAGAGGAGCCTGGGTGCAGCTGGATCTGGAACCGGCCTTACACCACAACGGTTTATGTCTAAGATACATGTTTGTGTGTTCACAGTTTAAAGAGAAAGAGAGAGAGTCACAGGAAGTTAGCAGTTATTAATCACTAGTTGACTTTTCATTTGCTAGTTGATGAAGGAGAATTTGCTACAAATCATGGGAATAGAATATTACGTTGAATTGATTCAGGGCACTCACCCCACAGTCACAGCCCCTCTGAAGGGCACAGCAGGTCCTGAGGGACAGAGAGGAGTCTCAGGTTCCCCATCAGCCCCAGGGCTCGGGCCAGCCATGGCATGAGGACATGGAGGCCAGCATCTTCCTGTGTCTGCTGGCCTTGTCTTAAAGAGAATCTTATTGCCTAATGCTGGCAGTCCCTCTGTACCAGTCCCTCTCCCAAGCACAAGACTCCTGCCCTGGGGGTTTCCCAGGCAGCTCCTGCTACACCAGTAAGAGAAAAGCCTGCCCAAACTGGTTCATGCAGAAATAGCTCTGCTCTTGTCCAGGGATGTCATCTTGAGCATTGCCCTGAGTTGGCAGTGCTGCCTGCAGGACAGTGGCTCCTGAAAGGCACAGGGACATGGTCCCGGGCAGATCCCTGTGGATCACCCATCATTTCCATCGGCACTGGGCACCCACACATGAAGGATCCACACAGGCTCGTTCTCTTACACATCGCCACATGCCCTTCAGTGCTGAACCCGTGGAGAAGCAAAGCGCAGCAATGAACTCGTAGGGGCAATTACTTCAGCCTGTTC